GAACCAGGTGCAGGAGCTTCAGGCATGGACAGTCATCAACATGTTTAAGAAAACAGGTGCTAAAATGGGGACTTTCACTGTCAAACGAGAGCACATAACAAAAGACCCAGGCAGAAAGGAATGACTGGTACCACACTTACCCTCCCGCTGTGAACAACCGTCACACCAGATGGAACACGGTCGGCAATGCGCTCCGCCTTGCTCCACCTGGAGCTCATGCTCCCAACTGCCAACCCCGATGAGCAACTCCAGCATCACCAGCCACTGGCTGTGTGCGCACAGAGGCAGTGGCCACGCAGACACAACAGCTTCCCCGATACATTTCTGTGGGCCTCTCCTTTGGACTCCCGAGCTGGAGGCTGGACATCTTGGCTTTCCGCACCCTCCCCCACGCTCTCGAGTCCACCCACACCTGTGCTTCAGGGGCGCTGCTTCATGATGCTCTCGTAGCGTCCCGCCGCCTCCAGAACATCACTTCCTGCCCCTGTCACATTGCGTAAGGCCTGGGCTTTCTAATAAATCCCTTCCTCTCATGGTCCTCTCGGTGGCTGTTTTCCTGATCACACCGTCTGATGCGGCTCTGACCAGCTATACAGCCGATTTTAGACCCTGGCTAGTACCTCTTCCTCCAGGTATATTTACTGTTGCCTGTAGCAGGTGGGTCCCTGCAATCCGATCAGGGATTAAGAGAATTCAAAGCCCGGCTTCCATCCCTATGGGGGCTCATCCATTTCCAGTCCGAGGTCCTTGGTCGTCACCTGCAGCTTTTGACCTGGTCTGTAGGGCATAGGAGGACCACAGTATATGTTGGCCTCTTCCTAAATCAGAGGATGTGTGGGCTATTCTACAGTAAACCCATAAACTTCAGGATGAGAGACGGTCAGAGCATGGGATACACGGGCACTTTGTCCTACACCGTGTCCCCAATCCTCATACCTGCAGCTTCTACCCTGCGTTCTGCTCTAAGTTGTACTCCAGTGAAGACCCAGGACCGTGTCCCACAGCCCTCTTACCCCACACGTGCACAGCAGGGTCGGCGGCAACAGCTGGGCTGGGAGGGGCCAAGTCCAGGACGCTGGACATCACCCAGTCAGTCCCATCTCTCTGGAGATCGGGGTCAGTGGCAGGAGCAGCGGGCACCGAGGGCTCTTTCTGGGTTGGGTTTCCTCCAAACCCTGCCTCTCTCAGGAGCTCCCTTCTCCCCAGTGACAGCCAGGGAAGTGAAGACTGAGCTCTTCTGACCCCAAGTCTGGTGACAACCTGTCAGGGTGGCCCCTTTCCATCCCGCTCCCTTCTCGTGTCACCTGTCCCAAGTGTTTGTCCCCACCCCCTTCAGAGAAGGGATGAAATGTGCTCCCTCTCTGTTCTCATAAATTCTCCGAACATATCTCTGGGAGTAGGAGGGTCTGGAAGCCAGGACCTACCTGGAAACGAATCCTGTCTTTGTTCTGGCCCACAGCCCGGGCCTGGCGACACAAGGAGGGATGGCTGAACTCACTCATCACAAGGGGCCCCTTATGGCCAGAGGCTAGAACTGACCCTGACTCCAGCTGTAGGTGTGAGTGTGCTGTTTGTGGGTTTCTGGTGTCGATTTCAGTTTAGAAAAACACTGGACTTGTGCGTGGCTGTGAACCCATCCTCAGGGTTCCCATGAGTCCTGCACTCACTCCTTCTAACTCCTAAACAGTTCCTCCAGCTACAAAAGGCCTTCCCTCTTTATGGCATCTATTGAATCCCCCTCTCCTTACCCCACCACCATTTCCCCCTGACCTTGCCGTTTTGCCCTGCCCTTCATGACAACTCTTTCCATGCTGTGGTCCACTGAGGCCACAGGATCCTTTCCCCAATCTGAGTATTTACCCTTTATGTAGAATAAATTAAAACTTAGAATTTGTGTAACCTGCCAGCTCCAAATACATCTCAACCGGACTTCTGACGCTTCATTTCTTCATTTGCACTGAGTCAGGACTTGGCATCCTGCCCGGCACCAGGAAAGGATCGCAGATCGTGCTTTCTGTCGTCCAGAGCTCCGTGACAGCACCAGGAAGAGATTAAAATCAAGAGCAAAATATTGACCCACTGTTGCGAGGGCAGGAAGTGAGAGGAGGAAGGGCAGGAGTCTGGTGGCTCAGGCTTTTTGGAGGGATGAAGGCAGAGTCAGCCCTGGGGGCAAGCAACCCAGCGGCCTCTGAGAAACGCACTGTGGCTCTGGAGCTAAGACCCCTCTTCCCTAGGATGAGGGGGAAACTGAGGGGGCATCTGGCTGCACCTCTGTCCTGTAGGGCAGAATGTCACCAGCCTCATTCCCCAGCCTCTCCCCTCCACATGAGACAAGTCAAGGCCGGGCCTCCAGGGGGCAATCCGTGCACCTGGGGAGCCCCTGGCCAGAGGGTGGCTCTGTCCCGATTCTGGAGCAGCAGGGGCTCAGCTCTGCCAAGCATCTCAATTCACAAGCCCAAGGTCCCAAGCCTTAGGCCAGCAGGGCACCTAAGTCAGTGGGGCTTCAGAAAAGCCCGGGCCCTCTTGGGGAGGAAAGTCAGGAGAAGGGGTGGAGCGGGCTTGGTTCGCATCTGTGCTTTTCCTCTCACCCCTCTGGGCCTTACTCTTTGAACCTGTGGTGCCAGCAGCATGCTCACTGTTACTGAAGTGGTGGGTTCCACTCAGCGTTGAGACTAAAATGTCCCTAAAAGAGGAAGTTCCCCATTGAATTGCTGCATGTCTCAGGGGATCTGCCACGATAATCAGGCCACCACTAAGAATTAAGATCTCAGTGTGATATACAAAGAGGGTAGTTTGGGGGAAAGGTTAGGCCAGCTAAGGAGAAACAGGAGCCTGGGAGGAAGCAGCACATAAAGAGGAAGAATTTGCAGGCACTCATAATGACTAAAAGAAATATTGACCATATGTGTTTACTGCCCAGAGGCTGGAAAGACTGTTAGCTGTTTGCATGTTTTCTCCCCTGCACTAGCAATATAGGAATTCACCTTACAAAATAAACTATATTTGAGGGGAGGCTGAGCTACTCGAAGCAGTCATAAATAAACGTGAGCATCTGCCTTGGCTGCACACTGGGCCGCGTGCTAGAGATTCAAAGGTGAACAAAGCAGGTTTGACACTGACTTCAGAGTGAAGCAGAACATCCTGTGGAGCCTCAGTTTCCTTGTCTGTATAACAGGACAGAACACCATTGGCCTGAGGTGACCTTGGGGTGGTTGTGAGGACAGGGAGGAGCCTTGGGGACCTCCACTGCCCCATTGCTGCCAGGACTAATGTCTCTTCAGCATTTACCCAACCCTAGCCACACCTCCCTCCCAATTTCAGGACAAGGCAGGCTGTGCTGGGCCTCCTGCCTTTGCTCAGAAAGGTCCTTCCATCTGGTATACCCGTCCCTGCTTCTCCACAACCCACTTCTGCCCCCTGGGGGCTTCACCTTGCCGACCCCTCCCCCCAGTCTCTCACCTATTAACTGCTTCTGCATTGTCCTTCACAGGTGTTTTCAATTTTAGTGTTGTCTCATCCTTCACAGTTTCTGTCGAGAAGGCTTAGTTGTTTTTATTAACTTTTTGTCACTATCTCTTTCAATAGTGTTATTCTTCCTTCAAATTATTCCACAAAAGATGACCATCAGAATATAAGACATTTCCTTGCCTGAAATATTTTTACATATATTTGCTGTGGAAAACATACTTATAGTTTCTGTGTAAACCTCATATATTTATTATAGTGTATATTATATAAGTGTGTATTATAAATATAATTATAATAATTCATAATATATTGTAATTTATTATACTGTATCTCATGTTATTAAAATGTATGTATATAGTGTAAATATATAATATATCTTACAAGTATATTTTATATTATATAAATATATATTTATAGTTTACATTATGTGATCACCTCTCAAGTCATGAAGGCTCCAGGAGCCTCAGAATGTCTCTCGGTTGCCCATTCTATCCAAGCCTCCTCATAGGTTACCACCCATGATGTTTGGGGCCATCTTTTTTCCTGCCTTTGCCTGTGAGCATAGCACCTTCATATCTGTTCTTAAACAAGGGAGTTGCCTCGGAAATTCACGTAAGTAACATGATGTAGTAACATGTATTTTGTATGACCTTACTTGGACTACTCCAGTTTTTTTATTATTTATGTTGGCATAGTACATAATCTCGTCTCCTTTGACTTTTTGACATTTGCTATCCTTATCATTTAGATGAATGTATTATTAAGAGCATATACTTAGAATACTAATCCAAGCTGACCCTCTGTTTTTAACTGAAGCATTTATCCAGTTGTATCCCACACTATGTTTATTTTATATATGTGCCAACAATTCCATATTACTTTATCCCTTTGATATTGCCTTCTTCTGATTTACTAAGTTTTCCCAGTACACTTTTTTTAAAAAGAATAGTTTATTGATCTTTAGAGAGAAAGGAAGGGAGAGGGAGAGAGAGAAATATTAACGTAAGAGCTTGACATCCATCGACTGCCTCCTGCATGCCCCCTACCAGGGATCAAACCTGCAACCCCGTCATGTGCCCTTGACTGGGAAGTGAACCTGCAACCTCCTGGTTCATGGGACAACACCCAACCCACTGAGCCACACCAGCCAGGGCCACAGTACACTTATAACTACTTCTAGTTGGTAACTTACACATTCTGATTCTATTTGTAGAGTCATTAGCATAAAATTTACTTCATCCTAATTAACTTAGTAAACAAAAACCTCTCTGTTTAAGAAATGTAAAATCCATTTACGCCACCATGACCACTTTGGACTTAGCTGTTATTACTGTCAGGAATTTAAAACCTATATTTTTACACTACAGGCAATGCTTCTCCCCATTTATTTGCTCCAAAACATCTGTATTACTTTCTCATTTTTAAATGATCTCCACTGAGCATAAATTTTAATGTGATGTTTAAACACAGTATTTGTTTTCTTCTGCTTTTCGTGGTTGCTAGAGATAATTCAATTTGCTCTGAGCGAGTACTCATTTCCTTGTCGTCCTGATCTCTGAGTACTCATAGGTACTGGTGGCCTCCTGGTCCTGAGGCTCCCTCAGCTTCATCCCATAAAACCTGAGGTTGGCATAGTAGAGCTCCTGTTGCTCCCCCAATGGAGAGGCATCCTTGTCAGGCAACGCTTGGTCTGGAGGCATGTCTGGGCCTAGCTTTTCCTGGGAGCCCTGAGTGAAGGGGAGAGAAGGGAGTGAGAGAAGATTAAGGCAGACACGGTCCCAAGGGGAAGTTGGGCTGATGGAACAGTTTTCCATTCATCCTCTCACTCCACACGCTTCTTATGAACTCAACTATTCTCTCATGCATTAAAGATTTTGTAATACTACAACTGATTAGACCATACTGAAGGCCTACTAATCACATTTCATCCTCACAGAAAAACCAGTGTCAATGACACTGTTATCCCCATTTACAGATGAGGAAACTGAGCTGAGGAGGTGAAGCAACACACGCAGAATGGATAGAAAGTTACAGTCTTGGGGAGATGTTTCTGGCAACCTGTGCCTATCAGAGAAGTCAGGTGGGCTCGGTGGTCAGGATGGCTGGGGCAGGAGGCTGGCATGGGCTCCGGGAGGTGATCAGAAAGGAGCAGGTTTGGGGAAATGCCAAGGAGCTGAGTGTGGACTCGTTCAATGGACATGCCCAGCCCTCCCTCCACTGCGTGAGAAGACACCCACATCACTCACCCAGGTGGCCGTGCCCATGACAGGGTCTTCATCACCCGTGACCTTTGGTCTGCCGGCTGCTTGCTTCCTGAGGGCTTTCACTCTGAGGGAAGAAGTCAGCAGCCAGAAGGGCTCAGGCACAGGTGGGCAGGAGGGCCCACTGCATGACAGACAACCAGGCATCCAGACCCTGGAACCAGACTCAGGGACCCTCCTGACATGCAGGTGAGGACTCTGTCCCCCTGGATGACCAGGTCATGAAATAGTTTTAAAATTTATTGTGGCCCCACCGGCGTGGCTCAGCAGTTGAGCATCAACCTAGGATCCAGGAGATCATGGTTTGATTCCCGGTCAGGGCACATGCCGGGATTCCAGGCCCAATCCCAGTGGGGGGCGTGCAGGAGGCAGCCAATCAGTGACTCTCATCCTCGTGTTTCTTTCTCTCTCTCTCCCTCTTGCTGAAATCAATAAAGATATATATATTAAATATAAATAAATAAATAAATAAATAAATAAATAAATAAATAAATAAGTAAATAAATAAATAAATAAATAAAAATAAAATTGATTGGGGTGCCGGGTCGTCCTGGTTCAGTGGTTGAGCATCATGCCTGGCTTGTGGGCTCCATCTGCAGCTGGGGGCATGCAGGAGGCAGCCCATCAACGACTCTCTCATCATTGATGTTTCTCTGTCTCCCTCTCCCTTCCTCTCTCTGAAATTAATAAAAAACAAACAACATAAAATTCATTATGGTGATGGGGGCACAGCTCTGTGACTGAAGTAAAAGCTATTGAATTGTGCACTTTAAATATATGGGAATTTTACCTCAATAAAGCTGCTACCACTCCCCCGCCCAAATATGTCCCCTCTGGATGTCCTAAGCTCCGTTTCTGTGAGATTCAGTGACCTCCCTCCACACTCCCTAGGACACAGCTCCTTGTTGTCCTGTGACAGAGGCTTACATGCAAAAGGAGATGAGACACACACACAGGGCCAGCAGGGCCGTGGCACCAGCACCTCCGAGAGCCGCAGGAACCGCTCCCACCTGGGACACCGACTTCCCTGCAGAGAGGAGGGGCGTGAGACCACCACTCGCAGGGCTCAGTCTCCCCTCTTCCCACCTCCTTGCAGAACCCCCGGTAGGTTCTGTTTGGGCAGCAGATGGAGGGCCCTGTCCCAGCAATCACCCCCGTCCAGGCCGCAGCCCCTCTCCCCCAGCTCCACCTGCTCTCTGACCCATTCCTGTCTCCCTGAGCCTCTGCCCCGAGAGGCCCCCTGACCTGGCAGCAGCAGGACAGCGACGCTCTGGGCCCCGTGGTCATTCCTGGCCTCGCAGCTGAGCCTGAGGCCGGTGCTGAGCCCCCCGCTGAGGCTCAGGGAGCTGTTGGCCCAGGGCCCTGCCGAGCGGGAGGTGACCGTGTAGGAGGCCTCGCTGCGGTTCCCCTCCAGCAGCTGCTCCCCCAGCTTCCAGCGCAGGGAGGGGGCCGGCTGGGCTCGGGAGGAGCAGCTGCAGGTCAGACCCTGGTCCTCCCAGGAGCAGGAGGGTCCCAGCAGCTGTGGGGGGTCTGTGGGGAGAGAGGAGAAGGGTCAGCGGCTCCTCCTCCCTTCTAGGACCCAGGCGCCCACTCCCTGGGTGCTTCCCAATCCTCCTGACTCACAGAGCACAGAGAGCCTGAGAGAGACATTTTGGGAGCCCAGCCTGTTCTGAGCTTGGCAGGTGAACTCTCCTTCTTCTGCAGTCCCCACTCGAGGCAGCTCCAGGATCTCAGTGCTGGAGATGGGGGTGGCGTTCAGGGCTGGGGACCCCTGGAACCAGCTCAGCTGTGCAGGGGGGTTGCTGTCAGCCACACAGCGCAGATGCAAAGCCTCGCCCTCCAGGATGGAAAGGGATGTGGTTTGCAGAATCTCAAAGGCTTAGGGGAGAGACGTGGAGAGAGGGAGGGAGACAGAGAGACAGAGACGGAGAGAGACAGAGAGAGAGGAAACTCAGGTGGAGGCAGCCACCCACAAGAGCTGAGGCACTAGGCTGATGATTCCCATCCTTGCCCTTCCCATGTCTGATCCCATTCAAACTAGGATCCCCCCTCTGCTCCACCACAGCCCAGGGGCAGGTCCCAGCTCCCAAGAAGTGAGGTTCTTTCCTACCTGTGACATTTCTGAAGGAGCGTCCCATGGTGAGGTTCCGAGGGGCATCTGGGACAGAAAGATATGGCCCAGCCTCAAGGGGAGAAGCAGGAGTGAAGATGACCTGAACCCAAGGAAGGCAGTGGGAACCAAGAAGGTGGGATGCTCTCCTTGTGGGCCCCTCCATGCAGAAGTGTCCTCATGTTAGCTCAGCCTCTATGCCTTCTTACTCTATACACACACACACACACACACACACACAAGTGTAAGCACACACAAGCATGCATGTACACTAGTCCCTCTACCCCTACGGACCCATCCATCTGTCCAGCACTCACAGGAGACATTTAACTGGATGGTTCTCTGTGTGATCAACCTAGACCATTCGCGTTTGACAAGGCAAGTGAGGCTGGTGCCATGGTCCCGGAACCTTGGGGTGAAGGTGACCACTGAGGAGCTGAGGGTCTGGGGGTTCAGCGAGNACCCCTCAGGCACTCACAGGAGACATTGAGCTGGATGGTTCTCTGCGTGGTCACCAAAGATCCTTGGCGATTAACCTGACAGGTGAGGTTGGTGCCATGGTCACTGGATCTCAAGGTGAGGTTGACCACCGAGGAGCTGAGGGTCTGGGGGTTCAGCGAGTCAACAGCGGCTCCCGCCCAGGAGAAGGTGAGAGGTCTTCCCCCTTTGCAGGACCCTGGCAGGCTGCAGGTCAGCTGAGTGGGGCGGCCACACTCCAGAGGCTCCAGAAAGTGGATGTGGGGCTTCTCTGTCAGGGCTGAGGAGAGAGGCAGGTGCCTGGGCTCCAGGAAGTGGGGACTCAGAGCGTGACCCTGAGAGGGACCCGGCCTCAGGGCCTCAGCTCACCCCAGGCCCTGGGCCTCTTCCCACCACCCTTGGCCCAAGGCCTGAACAGGGAGTGTCCCAGCGTCCTGTTCCTGTTCTAAGACAGGGTCCCATGTCCCTGGGTTCTCTCCTGAGCCCCTGCCATACCTGTCACTTGCAAATTCAGCAGCTTATCTTGGTAAGTATATCTTCTATATCCTCTCTCCATTCGGAAGATGTAGGTTCCTGTGTCACTCCTCCTGGCGTCTCTGATGGTCAGGGAACAGTTCTTGTCCCAGGGGTTCCCGAGGAGGAATCGGTCCTTGGTCTCTCTCTTCACTGTTTCTTGGGGGTTGCTTGTGGCCACAGGATAACCATAGTATGGCCTGTCCTCATACCGGTACCAGTAGGTGTAGAGTTTGTTAGAGGAACCCTGAAAACCCGTCGGGTACCAGAAGGAGCAGGACACGTGGACACACAGACCCTCCTGCACTGTCACTGATTCTTGCACTTGGAGCTCAAAGTNCACACACACACACACACACACACACAAGTGTAAGCACACACAAGCATGCATGTACACTAGTCCCTCTACCCCTACGGACCCATCCATCTGTCCAGCACTCACAGGAGACATTTAACTGGATGGTTCTCTGTGTGATCAACCTAGACCATTCGCGTTTGACAAGGCAAGTGAGGCTGGTGCCATGGTCCCGGAACCTTGGGGTGAAGGTGACCACTGAGGAGCTGAGGGTCTGGGGGTTCAGCGAGTCAACAGCGGCTCCCGCCCAGGAGAAGGTGAGAGGTCTTCCCCCTTTGCAGGACCCTGGCAGGCTGCAGGTCAGCTGAGTGGGGCGGCCACACTCCAGAGGCTCCAGAAAGTGGATGTGGGGCTTCTCTGTCAGGGCTGAGGAGAGAGGCAGGTGCCTGGGCTCCAGGAAGTGGGGACTCAGAGCGTGACCCTGAGAGGGACCCGGCCTCAGGGCCTCAGCTCACCCCAGGCCCTGGGCCTCTTCCCACCACCCTTGGCCCAAGGCCTGAACAGGGAGTGTCCCAGCGTCCTGTTCCTGTTCTAAGACAGGGTCCCATGTCCCTGGGTTCTCTCCTGAGCCCCTGCCATACCTGTCACTTGCAAATTCAGCAGCTTATCTTGGTAAGTATAT